AGTTTATAAAATTAATTGCTTAAACTGTGAATCGTCTTATGTTGGCCAAACTAAAAGGAAATTCGGGAAAACTCGGAAAGAACATAAGGCCGACATAAGAAAACCTTCTTCCGAAATTTCTGTGGTTTCACGTCACCGTATGAATGAGATGCATGAATTAGATTGGGATAATATAAGAATTTTAGATATAAGGATAAATAACAACACATAATGTTACGACAAAATTCTAATTGTGTAAAAGAAATACTCGAGATTCATCGTTTGGTTTTTTTGCTGTAAAACAGGTAATGATTCTATTTCTTTATATTCCGACTAGAAGATTTTAATATATACAATTTTATTTAAATTAGAATCTAGAAATTCTTGTTCTACACTTTTCTTGATATGACAATTGGCGTTGTAACATTACTGTATGAAGCATCTTCACATATAAAAGAACATGTTTATTTAATTACAACTCTCGACTGTTGAATTTAATGTCAACTAGATGTAACTCTGCGTTTTAAGAATATTATTGAATTACTGAAGATGGCCAGATTGTGGCCGAAACGTTTAATGTTTTAATTAATGTAATAATAATTAAATATCACAAACTATAAACTTGTGCTGTGGTTTTTTATGCTCTTATTTTTTATATGTGTTAATATTAGAACCACGTTAGTTTCAAGATATATAATATAACAAAATAAATTATAAATAAAGACACATAAATGATTCATTTTAGAAGAAAGAAACGCATTTGCACCAGAGTCATTCAATCTCCAAACTTGAACTCTAATAACAAATTCTGAAATGACTTTGAGAAAAGAAATGATCTTGAAATTGATTTTGAGATTGATTCACAGGTGGAAACAATAGGAGACGCATATATGGTAGCGTCTGGTCTTCCAGAGAGAAATGGTGACGAACATGCGAGGGAGATTGGACTGATGGCTTTGGCGATTTTAGACGCCGTCAGATCGTTCACCATAATACACAAGCAAAATACTCAATTGAGCGTACGGATCGGCGTACACAGTGGTCCAGTTTGCGCTGGAGTGGTGGGTCAGAAGATGCCGCATTATTGCCTCTTCGGCGACACCGTGAACACGGCGTCTCGAATGGAATCCTCCGGTCTTCGTAAGAAATAAATCCTGTATATTAGATAATAACAAAAAAAATACAATGTTTTAAAAATTGAAAGATTTTCCGTTAAAGTTTTTAATCCTATGTAGAAAATTAAATATAGAAATTAAATATAAGCTTAACTTATATAATTTGTTTCACAGCTTTGAGAATACACGTCTCCAAAACGACGAAGAATATCTTGGACAAGTTCGGGACATTCGATCTTGAGCTTAGAGGAGAGGTGGAGTTGAAGGGAAAGGGTAGAGTGACATCTTACTGGTTGACCGGTTGTTCGGAACCTGATTCTAGATTGGTCGTGCCGAAATATCGCAGGCTTAGTAGCAGCCAACTTGAGAACAATCTCAATCCATTAATCTTTCCACCGAATAATACAAATGGCTCAAAAACAAGCAACAACACCTTCATCAACTTGGCGGAATTATCATAATTAATATTTAGCTCTTTTTTAGGATAAAAAGATAAAAAGATTGCAATTGAAAATTATAGAGAAAAAAATATCCAATGTGGTACACGCGTCACAAATTAGAAAAGTAAGAATGATCATAGAGACACTACTTTTTGTTCGATACTGTTTTTCGATGTATAAAAACGATATAACACTACATTAATGTGAATTGGATGTAATAAAGTAGTTTTAGTCATATTACAATTATAACTTTTATTCGGAATTTTACATCAATAGCATTTTATTTATTTAAATAAAAGAAATACGATAGGCTCTTCATGGACAGGGGTATGTATAGTAAATTAATTAGCTAAGATACTGATCATTTAGCTTTTAACCTTGGGGTATAACACAATTAGTACGTACAATAATACAATAATTTATCTTTTAAGAATGATCTACATAAACTACTCTCTAATCTTTAGTTTATTCTTTTTCTTTTTAATGTAAAAGTTTGATGTAAAAGGGAAATATAAAGTAATTCAACCTCAAATACTTATATTACCTTTTTAGTGCTTTTTATATATGTCACATTGTATTAATTTTATACATATTTGTTTTCGTCAACATACTCAACATATATTTTTAAACATTACAGTGATATTAGCACTTCTCTTTTCGTCATCATTATCATTATCATGATCAATATTTCTCTCTCGCTACTGTAAACGATTATAAATCTCTGTGATCTCTATAATTGTTATTTGTCATTACGTCTAGAAGATCTCGTCGAAGATCGATTCCATTTGTGACAAAATCTTGACAATAGATACATCGTTGTAAGCTACTTAGACGCCAGGAACATTATTAGTCTGCAAACGAAAAATTACACGCTGTACATATGAATTACACTCTATTGTGTATTATATTGTAATAAAGTAACTCTACAGTAGCTCTTCTCTAGGATCAATCTTTTACCTAAAACTGATGGCTTTAGCTGCAAGAAGTCTATTGCATTCCGCCGTGTCCGGTAGAGGTAACGTAAAATACGGACTCTCGTTTTCTTGCTCGGTGAATTCGAATCTGTGAATTCTCGGATGGACCTTCATATCGCCGAACGGGCCTTTCAAGATCAAGTAATAAACTGGTAGCGGATAAGTAGTTTTTGTCTTTAATATCAGCTACGAAACATATTTTCATACTTAGATCACAATATCTATATCATTATCGGATTTATATTTCAATAATCTCTTTTACTCTTAACTCATATACACGCGCACGTATATGAATAACGATACTTAAAGTTTTCTATGAAATTATAAAGACATGCGGTTTTTCGTACTTGGTAAGTTATGTCTCGCTCTGAACTTTGAGTAGGATCGCGTTGATTACTGTTGATTCTGGCCTTTACTACCCATTGATTGTTGAAAGCGCCAAATCGAGAGGTTTCGTAAAATAGTTTGTGAATAAATTCATCAGTGCGATATGGCTTCATCTGTAAATCTACAAATGATAAAATTTTACAGATAATTGATAAATCTTCGAGCATCTGTAGCTACAAAAGAAAGAGAAGATACGATAAAAAAGTAAATCAAGAGAGTAAAATTAATATCATGATACAAAAAAGTTATTTATGCAATTGTAGTTTCCGTTGCTGCTAGGAAAAAAAATACATTTTCTATCTAATAATCTACAGATTATTTTAACATATTTTGTCTAACGTTATATAATAATGCTCAAGAATTGATACAGACCGTTGAACGTGATTTTCTCGTAGGACAAAAGATCAAAGACATTGTCATAGAGCCTACGTTCTTCCAAGGTACGAGCATCGATCTCACACAAAGCCTCCATCACGTCCGCACCCGTACGATGAGGATGAACGCAGTGGCTTTCATGTTCCGGAATCTCGTGATTCGGGCCTCGCCACGGACAACCGATTCTACTATATTTGCAACTAGATATCCTGTACAAGTAATTAGACATTGGATATGAGCATACACGTACACAAATATGTTGTACAACAGGAGAACATAGAAGGTTGAGAGACAACTTTTATGTAGGATTTTGGGATTTTTACATGCATTTCTAATGCAAGGCATATATTAAATTTTAGGAAACTTAGAGAAGTTATGTACACATAAATAAATTGCCTATGTATTTGCGCAGTTCACCTGTAATTATATTATAAAGAGATCAGTTGCATTACAGTTAGAGACGTCAATGAGAAATCCTCGTAAAATTGTAAATTTTGCCTTACGAATTTACCTTTCCTCACACATAGCCTCTTCATGGTGTTCTAAGGAATTTCGTGGGAATTCCTTCGCGCAATATTGACATTCAGCAGGTAACTCAGACACGGCTTTTTCGACTGCTAGATTTCGTGACGCGGTGGTTTTGCTGATTTCGATTCTGCAGTTGGGACATGTTGCCATCTCATCCCGCAGCCTGGCATCTGCGAGGACATGAGTGAAGCAACCAGCACACATCAAGTGTCCATTAGCACACTGTGAACATCATTGCAGCATGTATTATTAACGTTCTTGCTGTATTATTATTATATGCTGTGTTATTAATATTCTTTTGTTAAACTTTCTTTTTTTATATGTTAGAAGATTAAACACCTAATTCTCTCATATATGTACATTATATGCTCATAAACGAATGTATGTTATTTAAGATATATAACTTTCTAAATTACAAACTTTAATGACTTTTCATAAGAAACATATAGCCAACATTATTCAATGTATACATTAACAACAAATCGATTTTTTTTCTACTCAACATTTTGTTATGCATATTCATTTTCTGCTTCGCATTCTTATTTGCGTATACTACAGAACTCCCAGAATTAAACCCAAATAGAACCAAAAAATTAATGCTATGTATATTACCATCACTTTGAAGTTTAAACCTGAAACACAAAATCGTACGGATACTCATTAATCACAACTATCAACATGTATTTATCAAAATGGTCTGTTTAAGTTATCACGAGTACTCTCTAAGAAATTACTTTAAACAATATCAATATATCAATGACAGAAAGGAAGAAACAAGGATGATGACACAGTGGGACAAGTGAAAAGGGGTGTTTTATGCGAAATAACTAACTAATAACCTTTAAGAATATTTATTTTTGTTTTGCACTATACAGTTTGTACAGATCTTTGTCTTGTTTCTCTGTATTCGCTTTCTCTCCCTCACTCTCACTCTCTCGCTGTTGACTATAACTGATGGACATCGGTTTCGCATTAATTTAACAATAAGCCTTTATATTCTCATTTGCTCTCTCTGAATATGTTCCCTGCCTCTCGATAGTTTCTTATATTAAACATAGCGTTTCGTAAGATTCAAATATCATTTATTATATACGTTTCATAAGATTCAAATATCAAATATATTATATACTAAAGAACTACAAAGATCTAAAATCTTAAGTACTTCACTATTTTATCTAACCGTTTTAATAGAGATATAAGTGAAACACGGGGCTTCCAACCCCCGCTATTCTGTGAATCACAGAAACATCGTTTTTTATAAATGCGATAGATTCTATGTAAAAAGAAAAGGGGCAGAGTGTGTGTGGAGTGTTTGTAGAAATTTACAACTGAAAGAATACAATGAATATAAGTCTTCAGTGTTATAAATGAAAACGTCTACGTGCATCTGCATAAGGGACTTTACACTATGAGTTTACACACATGTCCGTTTAACATTAATTAAGAATATGAGAATAGCTGATACAACCTCTCGTATTACGTTACAATAGTTATTATAAATCCCTTTACGCCATATATTTCGCGTCGGTATTCTAAAGAAAGATGTATCGAGATGAAAAATTAACGGAACGGGTTCTAGGGAATATCAACAAACAGTTCACCGTGTATCCCTCTTGCGATCAACGTTCTAAACAAGTATGAGTAGCTGCATGCATACACACAACAACTCGAGAATGCTGCTTTACATTCTCTTTAAAGTAGCTCCTAGACAACTCATATTATTATACAACATGATACTGCACAATATTATTGATTATCTGATGGCTATATTGAGCTTCCAGTTTTGAACTGTTCAAAGAGAGTATCAATAATATTGTCAAAATAACTGTATAATAATATTAAGCGTCCTGACGTTGTTTAAGGTACCTATTTAGGGATTCCAAGAGGTATTACCTATATCTCTCTCTTCAGTAGTTGAAATTAATTATGAATACCGCGTTATACGCAGGCACAGTTATAATGAGGGAACCAATATAATTAACTGCGAAAATATAGCAAATGCGCACATAGAAAATTTTACGTGTAACTATTCATATTAGGAAAAAATGTTCTTTCTTAAATAAGTGAAATATTTGATCTCTCAAAGCAAAGATATGCGTATACGTGTCTTAGCTTTAATATTTCAAATCTGTGAATATATTGCAAAAGAGAAAATTTCTTTCGTACATCACACAAGTTTGCCACACAGCGATTCACTGATAAATATATCAGCAGCCATGTCTTTTGCTGCGTTTAGCAGCCTCAGCAGTTGAGAACACTCGCTGTTATTAATGTATTCTTCCGGATCATCCCCAATCAGACTTTAGATCTAGAAGAATACATCAATAGTAATGAGTGCTCACTCAACTGTTGAGTTTGCTGAACTCAATCATTTTTTTTTAATATAAAGAAAAAAATATAAAGTCACCTACCTGCGGAAAACTTAACATGTCTTGTCTTGTCTCAATAGACAAACTCATTATTCAACCTGTGTATAAAGCTCAGTTTATGAAAAACAGGGGACTGTATGATTATATTACGGCTATACTTTCGGGTTTTCGGCGTGTATTTTAGTATTGTCAACAAAAAATACATAAAGAGAGATCCATGTTTGGCACTGATCAGCTCAGTATCGAGATCCATGTTACGATTGTCACATTTAGACTGCCAATAACAAAATAGAAAAAAAATGTAACTATTCAACAGAGACGATTCATTAGTTCCATACCTAGATTGCAAACCACTTCGACTTGTCACAGCGAAAAAAAAATAAGGAAAAGTAAAAGATGGAATCGGAGAGAGAGAAAAAAAAGAATGTTTAGTAGAGGGACAAAGTTGAAAAAGGAAGAGGAGGAGGAGGAGGAGAAGAAACGCAGTTTGCTGTGAATAGTAAAGTAGCAATATAATAACGCGATGAAAGATTCTGCTTTTGCATGGCGTATATACAAACTTTCTCAGAATTAAAAGCGTACGTTCCAATACGAGATATTTGCAGCTTATAATCGATTCGGTCGCACTTCTTTCGGAAGGATCGTCGACGCGGTATGAATAGGATGCAACTTGGGCGATGTAAGACAGAGCCTTCTCTTAGATGGACGACCACACTTGTACCTGGCGAGTATCTAGCAGGTTGTGTCCACGACAAACGACCTGGACTGATCTTCCGCAGAGGAAACGAGGCTCGTGGATCAGATCGCGCGACCATCTCGTCTCTACGTAATGTCGCTCTAAAAATCGACCTCAAACGAGTCGATGGACTGCCACACGAGTAGGACGACGCGGGATGTGAGGGGAAAGGTGGTATCGCACATTGCGATTGTCTGGCGCGTCTCGACTCGCGAATTTCAGACGTCATAAATTTGAGGACAGGTTTTTTTTCTATTTATCTTTCCGATAACGACACGAGCTGCTCGTTACATGCCAGACCTCCCAGGCAGAGGAGGTGGAAAAGGAGAAGGGAGGACCGACCTACCTGATAGACGGCCGCGCGAGGCAAATCGAGGCATACTGCGCAGCAGAGGATGCCGCCCAGACGGTGCTCCAGCTTCTGCTCCGTTTTCGCGGCGTCTTCGGCGCGAACTGTCCTGCGCCGCTTCTTGTCAGGCTCGTGGAAGTCCTCGGGCTTGTCGTGTTCCTCGCGTAGCGGGGCCGCAACGACGGCGTCGTTGCTCGGATCCGCCATGTTGCTTGTTTTGGAGTTTTCCCCTGAGCGAACGCGAGAAATGCGCAGATGTAAAGAGACGCCGTTCCTCCACCTCCTACACTTCTCTTTCTCTCTCTCTCTCTCTCTCTCTCTCTCTCTCTCTCTCTCTCTCTCTCTCTGTAACGTTGAATAATATTGTGCGGACAAATAATTACTTTCTAGTCAACACACGCAACTTTGGCTTGTCAAAATAAGCGCCCGGACCTTTTCGTCGATTCCAAGAAAGTTTGA